TCTTTAATCCTTTGCTTAAGGTAGGCATAACTCTCGGAGCTCATAAATCGGAAAGTCCCACCGAATTTGACAGTCTCAGGGATTACACTGAAAGCTTCACTACCATGTACGTATCCAATCGACACTACCTACCACAGTTAAAATAACTACAATATGAATAATAATAATTAACATAAAATTTCTACACAATATCAACAATGAGAAGAAATTTGAAAGAGAACGAACAAGAGAAAAAAGGAAACAAAAAAAGTACTCTCGGCTCAAGAGGGTCCGTTTCTCGTGAAACAATATGTTGGAGTGCAATGATAGCCATGGAGAGAGCAAGAACAGGATCGTGGGTTCTATGTGGGACAGCAGCATGCCCGCCTTTTCCTTGAATAACTACATGAAACCTAGCCGATCCAGCCATAAGCGGACCAGGTTTCGAGATGAGAGTACCGGTGGGCATTTTCGGGTCAACGTGCAAGCCAAATATAGCCTCAACCCCATTTAGAACTCCGTCTTTTATCATGTAGTCGGCCCCAGCAAAACCCTCTTCCGCCGGTTGGAAAACAAATTTAACCGTGCCCTTAAAAAGTACAGAACAGAGTATTAGGAACAAAGATCACCTGAAAACACACCACTGTAATTTTAACATAATTGTTTTACTTTTAATTTATCACGGTTTTTGTGTAGTAATCTGGCTGCCCCAAGCAACATTGTCACATGAGCATCGTGACCGCAGGCGTGCATTTTTCCATCGATTTTGCTCTTGTGTTCCCATTCCACTAATTCCTAGAAATTTTGATTGCAGTTAGGATTAGTTAAAAGGGTACACCATACAAGAAATTTGACGGCAGGCAGGCAGAAAACATGAGTTTTTGCATCATTTTGAAAGAGATCAAACACGGGAATGTGATGTGTCTAGGAAAAGGATCACAAACACTATAAACTAATCTTATTCACACACCAAAATTTCACGGCCAGTATGGTTACAACTTCATAATTCTTTTTTCTTGAATTTGATTCAAGGAAAAGGTGCTTCATATTCAAAAATCAAAATGTCAATTAATTAATTTCCCATATAAATCACAGAGAGAGAGAGAGAGAGAGAGAGAGAGAGAGAGAGAGAGACCCCTCTATCAAACAAGACATTGTCCACATCAATTTACACAATTCAGCTCTCATTTGAACCTAGCTTTTCATATGAAGTATATCACAAATACTAAACAATCACTCAATTCGGCCCAAGAAAGATCATAATTTAGTGCAGATGACGGATTTTCTTCGCCCGATTCTATTATCACCTAATCACTACACGGAAACAGTGAGGGCCAGAAAATGGTGCTTTTGTATCTCTTATCCTGTTTTACACTTTCTACAAGCACAAAGCTCCTCGGCCCTATAATTCCCTCCAAATTCAAAATGTATGCTAATAATCCCACAATTTTAAGGTAGACTTCCAAGAAACAAACACATGATGTACAATCCAGCCACGAACAATAACCAAATGGGAAGCCAAATATTCTAAACCTAAAGCCTGCATAAGCAACACACCAAAAAAACTCAAACGAAAACAGTTAAAAGCATAAAGAAAACCATAAAAAAAAAAGATTCACTTTTTACAGGAAAAGAACATAAAATTATAAAGACAGAACAATTTGTACCTGAATAGGTAGAGCATCCATGTCGGCTCTGAGTGCGAACCATGGCTGAGACCCGGATCCAACAGTGGCCAACACCCCCGTTTTAGCGAGCGGCCACTCGTACTCAATCCCCAGCGAGTCGAGCTCGCTTCTGATGAGTTGACTCGTTCGGTGCTCTTCAAATGCCAGCTCCGGGTACTCGTGGATTTTCCTCCGGATCCCTTTAAGCCACTCGAAAAACTCGGCATCCCGGGCCGATTCAAGGAGCTCGCGCGCCAGGGACTCGGTTTTCAGAGCCCGTACGCCATGGCGGATCGATGAGAAATTGGAAAGGATGATGAATAGAGAGAGGTAATTAATCAATGATAAGATTCGGAGTTCCATTTTGGGCCAACTGATGTGAGGATTCAGATTCTTTATTGGGTTTGTGGGTGGCAAATGTCATCCAATCTTCTTCATTTTGTAAAATAAAATCTACTAGTACAACACCCGTGTATTACACGGGTGATATAGTTAGGTTTTAATTTCTAAATATATTTGCCGAAAATGATTCTTTTTTTTAATTAGTTAGGATTAATTTGGAAATAGGTAATGTTATTATGCGAAATTGTAGCAACGAAAATTGTGTTCGAAGAAAAGAAAGAAATTTATTTGCGATTAATTGGCTGTCGAACTAAATTGATGTTCGGTCATTTTCTTTATTATTTACTATCTTGTAAAAAGTTATTTCTTTCTTACAATAAAATCATCACCTATTTATATGGCAGCACAAATGTGCATTGGGTGTGTGTAATACAAATTTATATAGTATAATCTCTTTCTACTTTGAGTACATCTGCATTTAATGCCTAATGGTTACGGCTCGAATCTTCGTGTTGTCAACGGTTTATGCTTCCAACGCGTTACCTGACAACTTAGTGGGTAGAGGTCATGCCATTAGTTAATTTTTCTGCAAGTGGTTGTAAGTCGACCGAACTCTCTTTCGGCCTCCTGAAAGCAGCAAAGACGACTTTCATGTATCATTTGTGATTCGACATTTTTCGGGTAGATATTGTATTTTGCCGTTTGACTCGTCAATTGACTAACATAAATCTTATTTACCGCATATATTAATTTCTTTCAGAGAATTATCTTGTAGACCCACTTTACTGTGGTAGATCAACCAACACCCAAGTTTTATTCTTCTCCATCATCCTAATTTGTTCCTCCATGGCTTTTACCCATTTTTTACTTTACTGTTGCTTCAAAGTTCTTTAGTTCCACCGTGAAAAAATTGCATGTCTCGTAGATCTCCCTGAGTGTTCGTACTTTTTCTCAGTGGTGATTATGGGGATGACTGTTCGTCTCTTGATGGTGATGATGTCATTGGACTCGAAGGTTGTGGAGCTGGAGGTGTTTGTGTACTTTTTTGGTCATCTTCATATACTTCTGGTATTATATTTTGCCTTTGTGGTGTCGATACCATTATATTTTGGTATTCGACTTTTTCTTCCTCCTAATCATGACTGATAATTAGTTTACCAGTTTTGAGGATGTAAATTTTGTATCATTTAGATTGAAAGCTATATCCAATAAATATGCCTTTCTCGGATTCATCCTCCAGTTTGTGCTTCTTTTCCTTTGGGATGTGTACGCAACAGATACTCCCAAAGACTCGTAGAAGTTAGGCTGATCGTTTTCATCCACTCGAAGCTTCTATTGGAGTTTTTTTTTTGTACTGTCTTAGTAGAACATATGTTGAATAGATAGACTGTACTGTATACAACTTTTGCCCAAAATTCTTTCGTCATGTTTTTCTCTGCTAGCATTGTCTTGGCCTTCTCTTGTACGGTTTTGTTTTTCCTTTTCGACACACCATTTTGTTATAGAGCATAGTCGACCATAAATGTATGTTGTCGCCCACAAATCACTGCATTGGCCCAAAGTTGCAATCTAAAAATTGAAACCATATTTTCAGCCCTAATAAAAATTTCTATTGGACCTATCAGTCCCGCTTACAAAGAAAAAAAAAGTGGCCCATTCTAATAGGCACACAAAATGGGCCCATTTAAACCCTAGCGATGCTCTCAACTGACCAAATTCAAGCATATAAATTCACAAACCCCTCATTTTCACCCTCCAACCCAAACCCTAGCTATAAGCAGCAAAAGCCTCCTCTCCTTTTTTTCCCTTAATCCCGCCGCCGCCGTTGTCACCCGCAACCACCGCCGGAAATGGGCCGCGTCCGCACTAAGACCGTGAAGAAGTCCTCCCGCCTGGTCATCGAGCGGTACTACTCGAAGATGACCCTTGATTTCCACACCAACAAGAAGATTCTGGAGGAGGTCGCAATCATCCCCTCAAAGCGCCTCCGCAACAAGATCGCCGGGTTCTCGACCCATCTCATGAAGCGGATCCAGAAGGGCCCCGTCCGGGGCATCTCCCTCAAGCTGCAGGAGGAGGAGCGCGAGCGCCGCATGGACTTCGTGCCGGAGGAGTCCGCCATCAAAGTCGACCACATCGAGGTTGACCAGGAGACCATAGATCTGCTGGAGTCCCTCGGGATGAAGGATCTTCCGGGTGTCGTGCTCAAGGTGGACCAGGTCCCGATTAGCGTCGCGCCTCAGATACCCTACGGCCGTGGAGGCGGCGGCGGCGGCAGGAGGTACTGAGATGGTTCGAGGTTGATTTTCCTTTTATTTTTGATTCGGTTTGTATGAACCTTCGGATTCTCTGAAAATGGATAATGGTTGTTCTATTTAATATTTTACTCATCTTGGGAATTTTGAGACTTGTGATTAGTGTGTTGGAAGTTTCTTTACTCCCTGGTTCTTGCATTGTGTTTGCTGCTCAACTCATGAGATTTATGGTCTATGCGTGAGTTTTATTTTATATGAAATGATTTTTTAGTGACTTTGTTCTTGGTTTCCTCTGTTAATTTTGGTCTGTGTGATGTTATTGTTGTCTGCTAGTAAGAGCTGTAAACGGGCCTGGCTGAGTTCAAGCTCACGATACTTGAGCCCGAGATCACTAAGTTAACAAGCTTAAGCTTGCTTAGTTAGCGTGCCTTAACAAGCTGAATTATGCTAGAAGTTTAGGGCATTGTGGAAAAACTCTTATTTTGCAAACCTAATTAGCCTTAGTAAGCCGAGCTAGTAACTGATTGAGCCTTAATGAATCGAGTCTAGTCGAGCTCTCTAGTGGCTTATTTGTCTAAATGCTTCTACTGATATTCATAAACTTAACAGCTCACAGCCCTTCTGCTTTTCAATCACGTAAGTCGTTGATTGATTTTAGTACTTTGGTAAGGTTTCAGTTTTCTGTAAATTGTCTTCGCTTGGTTTTCTATAAAATTGTTTTTCTCCAGTTTGTATTGTGTTTTGCTGCTAATCTGTTATAGAATTACAATACTAGATTGGAAGAACAACAATGTATTGTAGCCGCTAATCTGTTTCGTGAATTGGTTTGTATTCTCTTCTGGGAAACCTTCTGCAACGGTGTACTTTGAGGATACAATAGTGATTATGGTTCTGTGTATATGAAGTGGCAGCATGAATTATAAATTCTTGATGTCTTTATGTGTAGTTGTTAAATTGATTTTTAATCATAATTTTCAACTCTGGTTATTCTTTTAGGAAAATAATATTGTTTGGCATAACTTGAAGATGATTATGATGGAAGTTGTGTAACACATACCTGTATGGCATAGTATTAGTTAGGCTGCATATATAGGCCGCTCGTGGGCTCGACTTGGCTCAGCTCAAAAATAGAAATTTTAAGTAATTTCCAATAGTTGCCTTGAGTTCGGCTCGTAAAGGCTTGAGCTATAGGTTTGTTAATATTGATAAGCGAGCTGGCTCGAGTTCGTTTATCAGTTCTTTTAGTTAATGAGATGTGCTCGATAAAGATGATCTTGGTCTTGGCTCTCCTTGTTTATTTCCACTTTGCATGCAAACACTAATTATGTGTATTGTTTTTGTTCATGTTTACATGTCTATAATTGTATAAAGAATAAAAAGGAATATATGGTATTGTACATGTATGTATACATGTTCCGTGACCAGTGTATTGTGTAGTTCATGATCGTTGGAGTTAATTGTTTCTTACTTCAGATGACATGAAATTTGAGATTACAAATGCCAGTGTTTTAGAATGGATTTTTTCCCCCAACACTCATTAGTAACATGGAAGGTGGGAAAATGGTAATATGAAAAGTGGGAAAATATAACAATTAACAGGTGGTAAGATATTTTCACTTTATTTATAAACTTTTTTCTTTTATGATATATAAATATAGATAATTGAGTGTATTCTCATTAATATGTAGTTTGTATGAATAGAGTAAGGATATTTGTTCCCTTTTATATTACAAATACATGGTAAGGATATTTTCCACCTCTTACATTACTAATAAGCGTATTTAATGATATTTTGCACATTCATATTTTGCTCATTTTATATTTAGTAAGCTTATAAATGATAAGCACATTCGTAACAATATGTTAAATCTTTTTTGAGTGAATGTTTCAAATTATTAATTATATTTAATGATGGATGTTTGCATCTATAACTTCTATTATTTAAAATATTATATATATATATATATATATATATATGTATACATATTGATTGTGAGAAAACCTTGGTCTGTACCCAATGAACATTGAAGTGCCAAGTTCAAATTAGATAGAGCACAAGTCGAGCCAAGGGTTCCTCACGATCGAGTGAGCCAAAAATTTGAAATTCACAATTGGATTGAGCAAAGGTTAGCTCAATTTGTGGATGATGGTGAAATGCTCACATTCCTATACAAAATCACAGGCTCAGCCCTCAATTAGACTCAGCAAAGGTTAGCTCGATTCGCCGATGATGTGAATGCTCACATTACTATACAATATCTCATAGATGGACAAATCAAGTGAATTATTTTTTACCTCTATATACACACACACTCTCTCTAGTTGGATACAGTTCCTTGATTTAGTCGATAATCGAGCAAAAGCGCTATGACCCAAAATCACTTTAACATATCAAAATGAAACTATACTCCAAGATATCATTTTGATAGCAGCAATGCTCAATATATCGCAGAAATCGAAAAAAGATGCATATGAATTGCACATAAGCCCTTGGCAGCCAATCACTTTACACAAAAACTCATAAGAACAAAGTTAATTAAAACCTTAGGATTCATCTGTTCTTAGGTGATCATCTGGATGTCTTGGGGTTGAGATTTGAGAGTGGCTTCGTAGCTCCCACTGTCTCTATCTTCACAACCATAATATTCAAAGTTCCAAGTCCTTAGAAGTTATAAGTTTGAAACATTTTTTT